ACTGCAAAGAAGTAAAGAGGGCAGTAAGTTTTTTCCTTTTGAAAGCTCAGATGAAGAGTTATGTGGATTGAGGGGTTGGTGGCCTCCCAAGAATTCTTCTAACCCTAGATGACAACGAACCAATTCTCCTTCCCCAGATGCCAGGCAAACAGCCAAGATGCAGCTCTTTTTCCTAAGTTTTCCTACTGTGTTTCTCATTACCGCCAACCACAGTAGGGACATGAATTAAACCAAAAACCTAACCGACTCATAGCGAACCTAGATAGGGTTTGTAAGACTGTAAATCTTTACAGGAGCAGAAATCCTCATCTTTCTCCCTCAGAGTGGCTTGTGGGTTTGACCTGACAACCAGTGGCTAGCAGTTCAGTGCTTATCTGACAGCACCACCAGGGTGGACATTAGGGTGGGATATATAGGGCCACAGTCTGGCAGGTGCAGGGCTGAGGAAAGGCTACCTTTGGGGGATGTTAGGAGTGCTGGTTTCCCCAAAGCTGGTCTAAGAGGCTTGGGAAAGCAATGTCTGTGTGTGGACTCCTTGAACCAGGTACCCAAAGACCATAGAAGGCTCCAGGAATGAGGCTGATTTGGAGGCTCTGGGGAGTAGGTGATGTCTTCCTTGGTAAAAAGAATTGGAGTCCCAGCCCCGGGGCTCCCTAAAACCAAAAGCAAACCTATTACCATTGAGTGATTCTGACTCATGGGGATCCTATGTGTCAAAGTGTAGAACTGCTCCATAGGGTTTTCCTGGTGTGGCGCTGTAGGATAAGCACTGGACTGCTAACCTCAAGGCAGAGGGTTAAAACCCACCAGTGGCTCACTCCTCAGAAACCAGTGCTGTAGAATACGAAATCTGAAGGCTTTTTACTTGTGAACAACTCCAGCCTAGCAGAGCTTAACTCTATCTTGTGCCTAGGTTTTAAGTGTTCCAATGCTAATTTTTCTTAAATACCTCTTGCACCTCTGAAGAGCTGAACACCAGAGTTACAAACAGAATAGATTTAAACGTGGGTTTAGGGCCACATCTCCCAGCCAGCCCTCACAGGAACATTTGTTGACACATCTCTTAATGGTCACCTGGTTGTGGTGTCATATCCCAAAAACCTCAGAGACTGTTGTTTTGTTGTTGTTAAGTGACGTGGAGTCGGTTCCAGCTCACAGCAACCCGGTATAGGTTTTCCAGGGAGTAGCTAGTGAGTTTGAACTGCAAGGTTGGCAGCCTTGAAGTTCAAACTGACCTTGCGGCCGAGTGCTTATTCTATGGCACCATATCCGGACTCCAGAGACTGTAAGCTTCCTTATTTGCATTAGTCCCCTCTCTGCTTTCCATAGGTCGGGAAGGCGTATGTAACTATGGCTGCTGTTGGAAGTCCTGGCGCATTAACCCACAGCGCCACACCAGGACTTCCCTAACTATTATAGACACGCTTTATTAAGTCTTAAACAGGAGTAAACACAAGACAAAGACAAACATAGACCACCTGGTTGAGGGAAAACAGGCTCCATCATGAATTTCCAAAGTTCTGCCTCCATGTGGTAAGTTTTTATAGGGTTAATGTGCCAGACTGCAAAGTCATTTGAACTGCAAAGGTCGGCGATTCAACCTCACCAGCTGCTCCTTGGAAACCCTATACAGGGTCACTATGGGTCGGAATTGACTCGACGGCACTTAACAACAACATAATAGTTAGGACTCTGGTAGCATAGTGTTTACGAATCGGGCTGCGAACCTCAAAGTCAGCAGTTCGAAACTACCAGCTGTTCTGCAGGAAAAAGATGAGGCTTTCTGCTCCCGTAAAGATTTACAGCCTTGGAAACCTTGTACAGGGTCGCTATGAGTTGGAACCGACTCCACGGCACATAACGACAACATAATAGTTATATGGAGTCCTGGTGTGACACTGTAGAATAAGCACTGGGCCACAAGGTCAGTTTGAACGACAAGGTCAATGGTTCAAACCCACCAGCTGATCCTCGGAAACCCTATACAGGGTTGCTATGAGTCAGAACTGACTTGTCAGCACTTAACAACATAATATTTACATAGTCAAAGATGGGGTATCTTTTCTCCCGTATATCATCCTATACAGGGTCTCTATGAGTTGGAAAGCACTTGAGCACTTAACAGATCTTTAGGGAAACAGATGGATAGGTCTTTCTTCTACCGTGTCAGTGGGTGGTGGGTTCAAACCAACAATCTTTAGATAGGTAGTCCAGAACAAACAGGTTATGCCACCAAGGGACCTTCAGAATTCCCTAAAAGGATTTATAGCACAAAGGCATAGCTTTTCTACGCCGTGAAAGTCAGATGGGTAAGGGCCCTCTTTGCTTCTTTCAGTATCTGCCTCCTCTCTGGCAAGTCCTTCCCCTGTCCCTATGCTCCCTTTTTATTTCCTGGGACAAAGTATAGGAAGAAAGTGGTGGGATGTTTTCTGAATCCAGGACGCTAAAGATATGGTTCCGGGGTCAGACAACTCCTTTCTATTCCATGTTAATTAAGGACTGACTCCAGGCAACCTGGGGAACCCATTTGGGAGAGAATTGAATACCGGAAACTGAGATGAGCAGACTCGAGACGAACACAGCTGTAATTTCCAGAGGACAGTCCCTGAAACTGAAGTTCGGTTGCGTTTACGCAAGCCCAGCGCACCGAGGCAGGGTGAGGAGATCCCCCAACCCGCATTGAAATGTCCTCGGGTGATTGACGTGAGGAGGGCGGAGGCCACCGGGCAGCCCTTCGGCCAGCAGAGGGCGATGTGGCAGACTCTGTAAACGGCTGTTTCCAATCCAGGATCAGAACTGAGATTCGGACCTCAGCGGGGAGGTGGCTAAAGTCTTGCAGTGGGACAAATGTGATATGGGAACCCTCTCCTTCCCCATCCCTTCAGGACCCCTCTTGACCACTGCAAGGGGCCCCCCTGCAGAGACACTGGCCTAGGAAGAAACGGAGTTCAGGGTTCAACCATGGTTTACTATGCTCTGGGCACATGTGAAATGCTCCCACACAGTACTCCCCTCCAGCCCCTGCATCTCCAAGATGTAGGCTGTGCTTACTAAGAATTCCTTCTTTCTGGTCTCTAGCTATTCCCCCTTCTCTCAACCCTCTCCCAGTTCACACTCCACCCACCTTCTTCTACCTTAGACTTTCTCTTAGGAGATTTTTGAGAGTCTCAGAAGCAGTTTCCCCCAAGATCTAGCAGAGATAAAATCCTTCAGGGTAAGGGGCACTGATTCCGGGCTTGGGTGGATTCCATTGACCAGAGAACATGAAACTGCAGAGAAGCAAGCCCTTCCCTAGCGCTCTGTGAGCAGGCTTGGCCCATTTTACTTTCTGTTTTTAATCCAGTTTCACTTCCGGGTTCGCCTCACTTCCTGGTTCTCCTGCTGCTCTTGCACAATGCTGGGAGATAGGCAGTGAAAAGGGCCACAGGGACAGTGGAAGAAACACACCAAAAACTGCCTTGGGAGGCTGTGCTGGGTCATCTACCGTAGGGAGAGATGGAGGGGTTTGTTTTCTTCACTGGCTGAAAGAGAACTGGGTTCCTCTCTACCTGGCCTTGAGGACAGCTGCTATTATCCCTAGCCTGAGCCCCCCTCTGCCCTCCTCCTTCAGGCTGTACCTGCTGCTCACCTCGCTACCACCCATCTGTCCATCCAGGGTTCAGGGTCCCTTTCTTGATGCATGGGCACACACTTTTAACATTGTGTCAAAAATGTCAGTGTTAATAGTCACAGAGCTCTCCTGAGATACACTCTATAGAGTCTGGCCAAGGTTGTGGACCGAGGCCAGGGGCCAGTGGCCAGTGAGGAGCAAGGACCTTGCTGCTGGAGCCTGGGAAACCTGGAGAAGTAAATTTTAAGTCACAAAAAGGAGAAGGAACAGCTGGCTTGTTGGTCAGAAGACTGTCCCCCTGGTCATGGAGTAAAGCAAGAATTGGCGCTTGTGGAATTAGACTAGGAGGCATTTCAGACAGTTTGGGATTCAAATAGTTATTTCCAAATCCATATCTTGAGGCAAATTGTCAGCGCTGGGCAATAAGGGGTAGATGGGATAGATTAATTTAGCTCTGATACAGGCTGAAATTTCAAACAAACAAAAATTTAGAGCTGAGAAGACCTCCAGGGACACTGGTAGGACTCTATCAATATGTAAATGATGAAGAAGCAAAGGTCTTGAGACAGTGAAGGCCCTGCATAGAGCAAGCAGCCAGGATCAGAATCTTGGTTTCCAGACTCCCAGCCAAACTTCCCTTGGCCATGTCTGGTCTGGAAGTCCTCTCAAGTTATTTTGAAAGCTCGGAGTCTTACCTATCTGATATACCACCTCTCCACTGGCCTATGACCCTACCACAGTCTCAGCAGAATCGCTTGATCTGTTAGGATGAGGGAGGATGGTCCAGGGTTAGGCTATCCCAAGCAACTGGCATTCAGCTAGCCAGAGCCTAGCAGAGGGAGAACAAAAGGCCCAGGATATCCTGGGGCAGAGAGACAAATCCAAGAAAAGAAAGTGATGGGCCCTGGGTTCCTGGGGCTTGTGCCAGAGGCTGAGACCTGGCAGGGAAGGTGTCTGCTGAAGGCTACACAGGGGTCCTGTGACACCCCGTCACCTCTGGCGGGGCAGTGGGGTTGACCAAGGGCAGGGGGTAAAGTGCAGGCGCAGGCTCTGGGCTCAGGACTGGTATTCCCTGGCGTGGCCACCTTGGCTCTGGGCCCTCTTTTGCATCCTGTCCTGAGGTGGTTGGGGGGGTGGGGCAGTCGTGCTGGCCTGGAGGGTGGGGAGGAGCCAGGCGTCAGGGAGCCTGCTGCTTTGAGCTGGCCAGACAGCAGGGGGATCAGGTTTCAGTCCAGCTGTATTTTTGGCTGGATGGGCTGGGGGCTGAGCAGGCAGGCACAGCTGCCCCACAGAGGGGCACCCCCTCCCCAGCACAAACGTCACCCCACCCCTACCCAGCATAGGCTGCCATCAACCCTCCCGGCAGGCAGAGGGCAGTCAGACGCTGAGGCTAGGGAATCATTTTGGGCTTTTCCGGGCGGCTGCAGAGTCTCTGGAGTGTCTTCTTGATCCGCAGCGCGGTGAGGCGGGCCGAAGGGTTGGGGTACCAGCACTCACGCATCATCTGAGCCAGGCCTGAAAGGACCTGGAGTTGAGGGAGGCAGGGGACATGGAAAGAAGGAGGTCAGGAGGATGGTCCAGTGATAGGGAGATACAGCAGGAAAGAAAGGAAGAGGAGAGGGAGATGGGAGTGTTGGAAAGCATGAGAAGAGAGGGAGGATGGAGAGAACCAGGCAAGGAGGAGAAGAGAAGGATGAAAAGTGGGTGAGGAAGAGAGTGGAGTAAGAGGCGAGATGGAGAAAGGCAAGAAGGACAGAAAGAGAGATACAACTGAGATCTTCAAAAGCATCCAGGGCCCCCTGGAGAACACTGTCTTCAGAACACCTTACCCTACCCCACCTGCACCAAGATCCATGGGAAAGGGGAGATCTGCAAACCATGAAACTACCATAACCCCACTTGGCAGTTGAAGACCCCAGTGCAAAGGGCAGTCTTTGGACCCTCCACCAACCATAGCAGACCCAGGGGACTGTGGGGAAGGCACTGTCCCCAAAATGCATTTGTCTAGGAAGGTCCCTACCCCAGAAAGCTTAGTGACCCCAGACTGAGGCAGGCTTAGAACTCAAGTGGTTTCTGAAAGTGAATCTGTGAGTGTGCAAAGGAAAACAAGTGCGTGGGGTTTGGGTGGCTCTGTCTGTGCCTAAATATTCATTTGTCTACATGTCCTCATTTGTATATTCATGAGTGCATGTATTAAGTCATCCAGTAAATGTTTATGAAGCACTCATTACACGCCAGGTACTGTGATAGCTACTGGGTATGTAAGGGTGAGCAAAAGAGCCATGCTTTCTGTCTTTATGGGGCTAATGATCTGTCATGTGTACATATGTCCTGTGTGCATATTTATGTAGAAGCCTATGCATACTGGCATGTGTTATGTACACATATATACATATGGGCTTTCAGATAAGTCTGTTGAGTCTTTGGAGAAAAAAACAACAAGGCGCCACCACCACAAAATATTCCACCACAGGAAACGCAGCAAGGTGAAGCGTTTTGAAAATCTCAGCATAACCAGAGGGCTTCCTGAGGGTCTATATGCCAGGGGTACCTGTGAGAAAAGGAAGAGGCTTCCCAGAGATAAACTCTCTACCAGGACATCTGGAATCTCTCCAAGGCAAAGCAGAGGCCTCACGCTTAAGTACCTGGGCCCAGAAATGCTGGCTGTGAGCTACCACCCCACACCATCCCAACCTCAGCTGGGGCCTTACTGGGTCTGCAGCCAGTCGGTTGGGGATAGTGGGGGTCTGCTGGTCAACACACACCACCTTCTTCATGTCCTCAAAGCTGGGATCATTGGGCACCGCATCATAGAAGGGTGGTCTGTAGTCCTCCACGATGCCTAGAGATGGAGGCAGGACAGGGCACTCACTCAGGATCCCAGGAAGCCCCAATACCTCCCTTCCCTCTGTCCCAGGCACCAGGAAACAAGTTGTTTGCCTACGAGCCCTGGGAACCCAGTGCAGATGGCAGGCAGTACTGTAAGGGACTATGATATGGTGAACATTGTATTTATAAATAATGACTATTGCTATTTATGTGCCAGGCATGGTGCTAAACATATCACATGCATTATCTTGTTAGTCTTCACTACAATTCTATTATAAGGCCCATTTTACAGATTTTCAGAGAAGTTGAGCCTTTCTCCACAGACACCCACAGTTAGTAACGGCAAAGTCGAGACTTAACTCGATCTCATTTGACATCTAAACCTTATCTTGCTCCAGTCTTCCCACAGCTGCCCCTTATCCAGGGCCTGGGTACTCACCCACTGGCATTGAGTCAATTCTGTCTCATAGCAACCCTAGAGGACAAAGAACTATTCCACAGGGTGTCGAAGGCTGTACATTTTCATGAAACCAGATGGTCTCATCTTTCTCCCATGGAACAGCTGGTGGATTTGAACAACTTTCGATTAGCAGCCCAATGCTGAACCCACTGTGCCACCAGGATGCCCAAGAATAATGATACTTCATGTCTACTGTCAGCTTGAGGACTAAGGTGTGCCTAACCCAAACCATGGTATTTTGAATAACCTCATATGCATGAGAAAGTTGGACAGTGAATAAGGAAGACCGTGGAAGAATTGATGCTTTTGAGTTATGGTGTTGGAGGAGAATATTGAAAGTGCCATGGGCTGCCCATAGAACCAACAGATCTGTGTTAGAAGTAGTGCAGCTAGAGTGCTCCTTGGAGGCCAGGATGGCCAAACTTCGTCTCTCATACTTCAGACAAATTATCAGGAGGGACAAGTCGCTGGAGAAGGATATCATGTTTGGTAAGGTGGTGGGTCAGAGAAAAAGAGGAAGACCCCCAGCGAGATGGATTGGCCAAGTGGCAGCACAGATGGACTCAAGCATGGCAACAATTGTGAAGTTGGCCCAGGACCGGTCAGTGTTTCATTTTGTTGTACACAGGGTCACTAAGAGTCAGTACCGATTCGATGGCACCTAACAACAACAACGTCTACTGAGCACTTACTATGAGCAGGCACTGTTCTAAGTGCTTTGCATTAAATCTTCACAACAACCTCACAACATATGAGGTAAACAATATCCTTTGTTGTTGTTTTAGGGCCATCGAGTGAGTTCTGACTCGTAGTGACCCCTATATAGGGTTTCCAAGGAGCAGCTGGTAGATTTAAACCACCGACTTTGCAGCTCAAACCGATCTCACGGTCCAGTGCTTAACCTATAGTGCCACACCAGGATTCCAAAACAATACTATTTGTTGTTGTTGTTAAATGCCGTTGAGTCAGTTCCGACCCATAGCAACCCTGTATAGGGTTTCCAAGGAGCAGCTGGTGAGCTTGAACCACCGACCCTGCAGTTCAAATAGCTTTGCAGTCTGATGCATTAACCCACAGCACCACACCACGCCTCTGGAAATCAAGGCAAGAGAGGTTAAGAAACTTGCCAAAAATCACACAGGTAGTAAATGACAGAGCTGAACTGAAACCCAGAAAGTCTCTGGCAAAGCCATGCTCTTGACCTCCAGGTTCTACTTAGGAAGGCAGTTGATTGGTTGCTGGGTGAGTATGAGGAACAAGAAGAGAGGGGAGGAAGTATATCCCCTAAGACTGTCTGTTATCTAGGCCCCAATGACAGGATGCCACAGGCCTCCTTGGCCCACCTTAGCCACTAGACCTCTCTTCCCTGTATCCTCCCAAGTCTACAGTCTTTAGTAGTTTTCTGAAAATGACTCCAGTGGAGCTGCAGACAGTTCGGGTGGAAGAGGTCAGACCCCCCAAGAACACGCCCAGCATTCCATCCTGCCTCGCAGACTGAGGCTGGGGGGCCACAGGCCACAACCTCAGCAGAGCCTGTACCAGCTGGTCTCACCATGGCGGGCTTCCAGCCGGCCGCTGAGCTGCTCCCGCCCTAATCAGTGCTGCACAGGGGCCTGAGCGTGTCTAATGAGCCTTTAATCAGTGCCGGGGCTGACACCAGATTACAGTGTTTATAATGCACCACGAGTCTGTGTGGGGCTGACAGAGCTTCCCCTCCATCCAGAAGCCTGCAGTCAGGCCCAGGCTGGTCCAGCCTTCCTTTCCCGCCTACAGCCTGGTCCAAGGGACCTCAGCTTCCTCCAAGTGCCCCTATCCCCTGACCACCTCCTTCCCAGAACAGACTCTGGGGACTTGGGCCTGAAGGAACAGGTATCTAAGCTCCATGTGAGTCTCCCAGACAGACTGGTTATGCCTATGCCTCTGCTGTCAAAGGCCACTTTGAGGCAAATGCAGCCTGGCATCGGCTGGGCTTCATGGATGCTCAGGAAATGTAGGTACAGAGGAATTTGCTGGAGGCATCCTCAGTGAGCAGGGCTCCAGTCATATCCTGAGGATTATTTCCAATCTCTCACGATTTCTGGACAGACACCTTTGTGGAAACAAAGGCTGACAATCTTCCCAGCCCATTACCTATCCACTGGGCTGAGAGGGCACTGACCATTTGCACCCTGCACAAGGCTGACCCCTGAATGGGGACTGAAACCATAAGCCCAAACCTACTGCCACAGAGTCAGTTCTGACTCACAGTGACCCTATAGGACAAGGTAGAACTGTTCCTTTGGGTTTCTGAGACTAAATCTTTAGGAAAGCTGACAGTCTCATCTTTCTCCTTTAGAGTGGCTGGTAGGTTTGCACCATCTAGCTTGTGGTTAGCAGCCTAACACTTAGCCCACTACAAATCTGAGCCCCCTGTGGCAGCAAATAGCAGTCATGGCGGGTACTAGTGTATCCCCCAATTTTGTGGATGAGGAGACCAAAGACCAGCCAGGTTTTCGCTAACAGTGACAAAAAGTCAGACAGCCTGGTTTTGAACTCTAGTACTGTTAAAATTCTATGCCCTAGTCTTCTTATCTGTAAAACAAATATTCATTCTATTGTTAACACCAATTGTCACTAATACTTAATGGTCTAAATACTACGGGGTGCTATGGATTGAACTACCAGTAATTATCAATGCATCTAAGGAGCTCTGGTAACGTAGTGGTTACGAGTTGGGCTGCTAACCTCAAAGTCAGCAATTCGAAACTACCAGCTGTTCCATGGAAGAAAGATGAGGCTTTCTGCTCCCATAAAGATTTACAGCCTCGGAAACTCACTGTGAGTTGGAACTGAATCCACGGCACAAGGCCACCACCACCACTACCATCAATGCATCTTGATTGCATTTGATCAGTTTTACACAGCAGAAAAAAAGAGAAGGTTCTGATAGATGGAAAATATGGTCTTGGTGATGGAAATGATGCTGGAGCTTGCATGACACAATTCTGCAAGATCAATGACAAATTCACTGCAAATACCTTTCTTTCAACACCATAAATAGTGACTATACATGTGGACCTAACCAGATAAAATACACAGGAATCAAAATGACTACATCTGTAGGAAGAGACAATGGAGAAGCTCAATATCATCAGCCAAAACAAGGCCAGGGGGTAACTGCAGAACAGACCATCAATTGTTCATGTGCAAGTTCAGGTTGAAGCTGAAGAAAATTAAAACAAGTCCATAAGAGCCAAAATATGACCTTGAGCATATCCCACCTTAATTTAGAGACCATCTCAAGAACAGATTTGACACACTAAACGCTAACGACCAGAGAAGTTGTGGGATGATATCAAGAACATTATATATGAAGAAAGCAAAAGGTCATTAAAAAGAAAGAACAGTCCAAAGTGGCTATCAGAGGAGACTCTGAAACTTACTCTTGAACACAGAATAGCTAAAGTGTAAGAAAAAAATGAAGTAAAAGATCTGAACATAAAATCTCAAAGGGAGGCTTGAGAAGACAAAGTCAAGCATTATACTGAAATGTGCAAAGACCTGGAGTTTGAAAACCAAATGGGAAAAACATGCTCAGCAATTCCCACGCTGAAAGAACAGAAGAAAATTCAAACCTCAACTTGAAATATTGAATGATTCTCTGGGCAGATATTGAACAACACAGGAAGCATCCAAAGATGATGGAAGGAGTATTGATTCACTGTACCACAAGGGACTGGTCATCATTTAACCATTTCAGGAGGTAGCATATGATTAAGAACCAGTGATATTAAAAGAAATCCAAGCTGCACGGAAGGCATTGACAAAAAGCAAGGCTCTAGGAACTGACACTCTGAAATGTTTAAATACACGGCTGCAGCCTTAGAAGCACTCACTAGTCTATCCACATTTGTGTTAATTACAAAGAAAGGTGACCCAACAGAATCTGGAATTTATCAAACAACATAGTTACTATTACGTGCAAGTGAAATTTTGCTGAAGATAATTTATAAATGGTTGCAACAATACATCCGCAGAGAGCTGCCAGAAATTCAAGCTGGATTCAGAAAAGGATGTGGAACAAGAGATGTCATTGTTAATGTCAGGTGGATCTTGACTGAGAGCAGAGACTATCAGAAAGATGTTTACTTGTGTTTTACTGACTACGCAAAGGTATTTGACTATGTGGATCATCTCAAACTGCAGATAATATTGTGAAGAATAGGTATTCCAGAACACTTTATTGTGCTCATGAGGAACCTGTACATAGACCAAGAAGTAGTCATTATAACAGAACAAGGAGATACTGTGTGGGTTAAAATCAGGAAAAGTATATGCCAAGGTTGTATCCCTTCACCATAGTTTTTCAACCTGTATGCTGAGCAAATAATTCAAGAAGCTGGATTATGTGAAGAAGAATCAGACTGGAGGAAGGATCACTAACAACCTGCAATATGCAGATGATACAACCTTGCTAGCTGAATATAAGAGGACTTGAAGCAGTTGCTGATGAAGATCAAAGAATACAGTCTTCAGTACGGAGTACAACTCAATCAATGTAAAGAAACCAAAATCCTCACTACCAGACCAATAAACAACATCATGATAAATGGGGAAAAGACTGAAGTTGTCAAGGATTTCATTTCACTTAGATCCATAGTCAAAACAGCAAATGCATACTGTTTTGGGCAAATCTGCTGCAGACGACCTCTTTAAAGTGTTCAAGAGTAAAGGTGTCAGTTTGAGGACTAAAGTGTGCCTGACCCAAGCCTTGGTATTTTCATTTGCCTTATATGCATATTAAAGCTTGACAATGAATAAGGAAGACCAGAGAATTGATGCATTAGAGTTATACAGTGTTGGTGAAGAACAGAAGTATCATGGAATACCAGAACAAACACATCTGTATTTACACAGAGAAGTACAGCCAGAATGCTCCTTAGAAGTGAAGGTGGCCAAACTTGGTCCATGTACTTTGGCCATGTGATCAGGAAGGACCAGTCCCTGAAAGAGACATCATGCTTGGTAAAGCAGAGAGTCTCTGATAGCATAGCAGTTACGAATTGGTCTGCTAACCTCAAGGTCGGCAGTCCGAAACTATCAGCTGTTCCTCGGGAGAAAGTTGAGGCTTTCTGCTTCCATAAAGATTTGCAGCCTCAAAAACCCTGAGCAGGTTCACTATGAGTTAGAACCAACTCCTTGGTACTTAACAACACCACCACCAACAAAGTAGAGGGTCATTGAAAAAGAAGAACACGCCCAAGAAGATGGAATGACACAATCAATGGCTGCAGCAATGAGCTCAGATATAACAATGATTGTAAGGATGTGAAGACCCTGTTGTGCACAGAGTTGGAATCGACTTGACAGCACCTAACAACAGTCTTGGTGTGGCACTGTAGGATAAGCACTTGACCTCAAGGTTGGTTTGAACTACAAGGTTGGCAGTTCAAACTCACCAGACACTTCTCAGAAACCCTATACAGGGAGGCTATGATTCAGAACCAACTCCATGGCACTTAACAACAACAGCAAATTGTAAGAAAACCAATGTTTATTAAAGGCAGCACTTAAAAACCAAGGCACTTACATGATTTCATTTAAATCTCCCAACAACTAGAAGTTATTTTTATTCTTGTGTTGCAAATAAGAAAACGGAAGCACAGAGAGATAAAGTATTTTGCCCATGGTAGGTGGCAAAATCAGGAATTGAACCTGGGTAGTCAATTCCAAACACATGCTCTTAACCACTAAGTGATACTTCCTCCCTGCCGATTCATGAGAATTAAATAAGATAATAATATATGTAGAGTATGTGGCACAGCATCTGGCACATATTTAGATTCAGTAAATGTTAGCTGCTATTAACATTTTGGTTATTATCACTTACCCAAGATTGCACAGCCCAAATCACAGACTAACAGACGTTAAAAGGTCAGTCTGCTGAACCAGCTGGTGAATGGCAGTGAAGGGGAGTCCTCCTGGCTCCTTAGGCCATCAACACCACGTCCTGCCTGCCTCCTGACTCACCTGCCCCATCCCCCTTCATGGTCTGTAGGGTGGGCCTCACCATTGACAATGGTCCGGCGGGTGATCTCCCACAGCACCAGGCCAAAGGCCCAGATGTCAGTCCACTTGTAAGACTCGAAGCAGTCAGTGCGGATCTGCTCATCCAGCACCTCAGGTGCCATGTACCGCTTGGTGCCCACTCGTGGGTTGTTGCCGATGTCCAGGTAGTCACTACCCTGGGAGTGCATCACGGCCAGACCTATGGGTACCAGACCTGTGGTCACTGATCCCTGAAGCCCACAGACAGGATGGCTTCTTGGGAGTTGGAATTCTCCAGCAAAGTGGGGATGCAGAGGGACAGTGAGGCTTGTACTGACATGGGCTGAGAGACACGGTCCTCAGGGAGAGCAACAGTATCTGGCTGAGAACGTGGATTCCTGGCTCCCTGCCCCTTTGTCCCACCTGTCTGGAGCAAAGGGTGTGTGGTGAAAATAGTCTGGGCTTGAAAAGAGGGTGAAGGCATCTAGTTGGGCTCTTGCGGGAGTGAGATGAGACAACACACATCTCTGAATTTTAAATCACCACTGCCACCCAGTTTATTCTCATAGTGACCAGATAGGGTAGAGCATAATGGCATAACTTTCTCCCACGAGCTGTTTGGTGGGTTTGAACCACTGACCTCGCAGCTAGCAACCGAACGCTTAACCCCATGAGCCACCCGTTTTAAAGCTCCACGAAATGAGTAGCATCCTGTTTGTGTATCCAAACAAGCAAAGGCAGAACCCAGATGGAGAGCAAACCCCGCCCACTCGCGAAGGAACCACGCCTTCGCCCCGCCCACCTGCGACGGGCCCGCCCACCCGTGGAAGGGTTCCATCTCTACCAGCTATGCTGCTTACCCAGGTCTGCGATGCAGCACTGTAGGTTGCTCTTGACCAGCACATTACGACTCTTGAGGTCGCGGTGGGCTATAGCCGGTTTACCCTGCGTGCCGAAGATCTCCACGTGCAGATGAGCAAGACCACAGGCCGCGGACACGGCTAGCTGCAGGGCCAGCTGGGGTTCCAGGGTCTGTCTTTGCAGAAAATCATATAGCGAGCCGTGCTCATGGTAGTGCGTGATGAGCCACAGCTGCGTGCTGGAGTTACGGGAGGTCATATCTGAGGCAATGAAGCCTGTGGACAGAAGCGATGGATAGCTTAGCCAAGGGACGAGGGAGGTTGAACTCTGGAGGCCAGGGTGGTGGACTGGGCCAGGGGTAGGATTGGAATTTTGGGACTAGAATGGGTCAGGGTAAAACGAGTTGGGATACAGGCTGTCCTAGCTTCGGTTAGAGATTGAGGTGGATGGAGTCAGAGGTTGGGGGTCGAAGTGAACTGGGAATCCTTTAGGATTAGGACGACTCCGGGCCTTGGGGGCAGGGGGATGAGAGCTCTAGGCCTGGCCTAGAACCTTTGCTTGCCTAGAATGTTGTCGTGTCTGAGCAGCACTGTGTTGTAAATCTCTGTCTCCCGGAACCAGGACTGCTCGTCCCTGGATGAGAAGATCTTGACAGCCACACTCTCACCGTGCCACAGGCCCCGCCACACCTCGCCATAGCGGCCCTTTCCTGTTCCAATGGCCCGAGAGGAGGGAGAGGGTCACACACTGGGGACACAGCCTCAGTAAAGTCCCCCCATCTGGATGCTGTGCTGAGCCCGCCTGCACAAACTCTGATGCTTATATTTAACTTAATTCAGACCCTAACCAGCCAGCACACCACCTCCATGCCTCGGGTTCTATCCCAGCTCCCTGCAGAAGGACCTAGTCACGGCCCATCTCCAATCGTCCCTGAGCAACAGAATTCCCATTCTGGCTCTGCCTGTGACTTTCGTCAAGAACTGCCCCCATCCCTCCAGGCTCATGGGCTCACCCACTGCTCACCTACGCACTCCACCAGGGCGACCTGCCGCGCCACTGTCCTCTGCACCAGGAAAGGAAGCCCGGAGCCACTGCCGGTGGTGCAGTCACTATCCAGCAGGTCCTGGGGTGCAGAGATATCGCTGAGAGGCTGCAACCCACACTCCGGTCCCCTCCCCCATCCTCAACCTGGGTCCCTCAGCTGTGCTTCTCTGTATGCTCTTTCCTCACCCAGCTCCCGGCCCCTCTAGTCTCTGCATGTCTGGGATCATGCCTTTCCTGGCTGCCCACTCTGATTGTGTGGCTCTTCACTTCCACCCTGCACCCCATGTTCCCCAGGCCCATACCCCAAGCATGCTGTCCCCTTGCTCAGATGCCTTCAGCATGATGCTGGACTCGCCTAGCTCGTTGTGCAAACTCCGATGCTTTTCTTGCCTTCGTCGGACATGCCACAGGCCCAGGGCACCCAGGGCCACCAGGGCCAGCAAAGCCAGCACGGGGCCCAGGACCAGAGGCAGTTGGCTCACTACTTGAGGCTGCTCCGAAGGGGTAGCTGGGAGAAAAGGACACTGAGGGGTCCTACTCCTGGACAAACCTTGCCCATCCACCAGTCATTTCCCAGGGTCCTGCCTCCCCCACCCTCCTGGCCAGGGCAGGAAGGGCAGGGTCCCAGCAGCTGGGGCAGGGTTGCTGGGGCAGCTGCACATACCGTGCAGCACCAGGGACACGTTGTGGTTGCACAAGTTGCTGTAGCAACAGTAGTGGTTGAGGAACTCCGTGGGGCGCCCCCTGCAGAGCTCCTGGTGTTGGCTGCTGCAGCCCCGAAGTTCCTGGGGATGCCTGCCCTCCTCCCGCACCAGCACTACTGTGCACCAGGCCCCACGGCAGGTCGGCCCCTTGCAATGTGGGTTCTTACACGTGCAGGTCACAGGGTCGCCTGAGAGAAACACCAGCAGCTCATCAATGCTAGGCCAAACCCCGCATCTGTCTACCCAACTAGCCCTCCCTCCTTTCTGATGTCTCAAACCAACCCCTTAGTTCTCTGACTTCCATTCTCAGATTATCCTTCCCTCCAAGCCTCACCCCCTGCTGAGAACTGGGCTTCTATGCCCTTGCTGCTCCTAGGACCTACCACTCCCAGGTCCCAGACTCCAGTCCTAGCCTCCCTGCCAACCGCCCCTCTCTGCATCCCCAGATAGAGGTCCTCAGCCAGTATCAGGCGCTGAAGACAGCAGAGGAGGATTAGGGTTGCTGGGACCTGGTCTAACTAAGCCTCCCTGCCTTCCACCCTCCATCCAAGCTCCTAAACCCCCCTTCTCCCTAACACCTCAAATTCAGCCACAGCAGGAACTGAGCTGAGCCCAGATAGCCCTTTCTCCACCCAGGCCCCAGTACTCACTCTGGGTCAGGCCCAAGGCCATCAGCAACATCAGAAGGCCCCTCCTGGGGGTGCCCAAGGTCATGGTCTCTGGAGAGGAGCACAGTAGGACCCGTGAAATGTGATCCTCCCTCAGCATTTCAGCCTCTCACCCTGGATCCCTCCCACCCAGAGGAAATCACTGGGAGGTTGGGTTTTTTTTTTTTTTTTTTTTGGAGGTGTGGGGGGATGGAGGGAGGCCTCCTCCCACTCGCTGCCTCTGTCCTTGGGGCGGGGCCTACAGGGGAAGTCCAGGTTCACTTCCCCGTGGAAACCATCCTGTTAGGGGTAAAGGGTCTGAAGCCACGGTTTAAGTACTCAGAGCTTGGGGAAGCCCAGTTCTGTACCACTGCTGCTGAGACCAGACTGGAGGCAGGTTGGGCATCTGGGAGGGCACCAGGCTGGGGTGAAAGGGGCCCCTCTTCAGCAGCCAACCCCCTCTGTCCTGTGCCTCTGGCCCACCCTCTCCCAACCTCCCCTCTGCCCACCCCTTTCCCAATGCACCCCCCTCCCAGCCCTGGCTGCCTCAAACATAAACAGGCTCTTGTCTTCACTTCCTGCCATTCAGGGTCCCGCCAAGCCGGGAACAGGAATCAAGATTGTTTAGATTGGGGTCTGGATAGAACAGGCAGGAGTCACGCAAAGCAGGGAGTAAGGGCATATCGTCAGGGCAGGCTGGAGCCACGGCAGGGTCTCAGGAGCCCGCTCATGATAGAATCCTGGAGGGTATGGTGTGAGTCAGAAAGTCCAACGGAACTATTCTAGGTCACACAGCACGCAGTGACAATCCAGGTCAGGTGTCCAGTACCCTTTCCACTCTGCCTCCTCACCCAGTGGTGGCAGCTCAGGCCTCTGACCTTCTCCTGCCAGATGTACAATGAGGTCTCTGAGCCACTTCTGGCTCCCCTCACTCTCCTTGCTGGGAAAGCGTGGGGGAAGGGCCGATGGTGTGGGAGGGGAAGTGAAACACACTTAGACACTGAACGTTTGACTTTCCATGATGGGCTGGGGTTGAACTTTCCCACAAGTTTGGAGGGGAGGGGGTCCACTGTTAGGGAAGCCAACCCAGGTCCCAAATCAACGAGTGCTTCAGAAGTCACTGCCCTCTTCATTTCTCTAAGGTCAAGGCTGCAGAAGAAGGACTGAGTCAGACAGCAGTGAGAACTTTCTGAATGGTGGAGAACATGCATATCTGGTGACTGGGTCCCCAGGTGGGGGCAGCCGACATGAGCGAGGGGATGTGTCTTCTTTCATGACATAGTGGAGGCTGCTTGTTCTTGTTAAGTGCCATCTAGCTCATTCCGAGTCATAACAACCCTGAATAGGTTTCCAAGGAGCAGCTGGTGGGTTTGAACTGCCGCCCTTGTGGTTAGCAGTCCAGCACCACACCAGGACTCTGGTGAGGCTGGTGGTGGTGGTGGTGGTTATGTACTGTGGAGTCAGTTCTGACTCATAGTGACCCTGTACAGAGTTTCCGAGGCTGTAAATCTTTACAGGAGCAGAAAGCCTCATCTTTCTCCTACAGAACAGCTGGTAGTTTCAAACTATTGACCTTCTGGTTTGCAGCCCAATTCGTAACCACTACGCTACCAGAGCTCCTTGGTGAGGCTGGAAGAGCCTGGTATATGACCACATAGGCTGTGGACAGCCATGGTCTGAGATGCTGCTCAGTGAAGGCCCATGATGCGGAGGCTCCAGAGACAGGATAGCCAAGATGGGGGCTGCCTGCGCCTCCCTAGCTGGTAGAAGCTCTGGTCTTCCTGCATGGGCTTCCTCTGCCCCAGAAGCCGGGAGCTGGGGAAGGAAACAGAGCCCTGAGCTGCTGCAGCTGTGTCCCTAGTCTCTGTCTGACCCCCTGCCACCCGCTCCTCCTGGCAGGCAGTGAGGACACTGTCGGCTAAGGATGGAGCCCAGGTAGGCTGAATTGGCTCCCTGAGGTCCCGTCAGAAAGCCATCCATAACAGTCTCTGGGTGCTGAGAAGGTGAGAGAGGAGCAGGGACATGAAGGCATGGAGTGGGTAAGGAAAAGTGGGCCACAATCAAGATAAAATCTTGCATCCTTCTAGGACCCATGTTCCACTTCTCTGACTAACTCCCTGGACCGCTCTCTCACCAATTTTGATGGTACTTCAGAACCACTGTTGTTAAGTGCCATTGAGTCAGTTCCAACTCACAGCAACCCTGTACAGGGTTTCCAAGGAGCAGCTGGTAGGTTTGAACCGCTGACCTTTTGGTTCACAGTCTAGTGCTGATCCTACAGTGTCATATGAAGTGCTTATTTAGAGATGCACCCTCTGGGGTCTGGGTGGCACAAGCAGTTTGTGATTGGCTACTAATCTAAAGTTTGGAGTCAAACTCACCCACTGGCTCCATGGAAAAACATCCTGGTAAACTGCTTGTATCAAGATTACATTTTTTTAAAAAACCTATTATGCAACATGTGAGAACGTCATGAGCTGGGGGCTGTCTTGACAACCACTAATGACAGAAATACACCTTCTTTAGCCTCATCCCCACCACAAATTCTGATTCAGTTCATCTGAGACCAGCCAGGACTATGATTTTTTTTTAAAAGTTCCCAGATCAGTAATTCTGGTCAAATTATGTTGGATCCACACTTGGAGAAATGTGTCCTAAATACTCTAAGTCTGGTTCCCAGGTTTTCATTTCTCTGAACATGGCCTTGTCAGGTAGGTCAGAGAGGGGCCCAGAGGGAGGGGATTCTCACTGGTGCTCACATTGGTCTTCACAGCCTATGTGTTCACCATTAATGTCTCAGTGGACTTTTACGAATTTCCACTTCTACTGTCATCTACTGGAGGAGAAGGGACAGCCAAGGATAACATCAGGGATTTGGTGACACTATGGAGGGATGCAGGTTTTGTTTTATAGATTTCAACTTCAAGCCTCCAGGCACAGTGAAGAAAAAACCTGACAGAATTTGGAGAGCCCATCTCTTGTCTAACCCTGGTAATGTGATGGGGTAAAATTGTGACTGGCCAATTTTCAATTCCCAACTTGTCTGTCAGTTTGTGACAATGCGTTAATGATGTGGATGGAGCAAAGCTTTCAGGACCTTCATTTGCTGATGGGGCATGACTCAAAATGAAGAGAAACATCTGCAAACACTGATTAATAATTGGAACATGGAATGTACAAAGTATGAATCTAGGAAAATTGGAAGTCGTCAGAAATGAAATGTGAAAGGAGCCGGACGGACATAGATGCACAGAATGCAGAACCCAAGATTCCACTTGTGAAGAACTCAAAACCAGCAAGACGAAACCAGACGTATCTTATAGAGCAAACCCACAAAGAGCAGCCTGGGAGTGCTCACCCATGGGGCTGGCAGTGCAGTGACATCGGCAAAAAGTATAGGGAGAGCTGTAAGGACTAGTGATCTAGTTCTAGGTGGTGGTTGCCTAGTACTTTATAATAATTTGCTAACCTACACATGTGCTTTAGATATTTGCAAGCAAACACCTTACATTTCTCATGAATAAAAAGTTTGAAAAAAAAAAAAAGGTTAACAGCAACAACAACAAAAATGATTCCCTGGAGGGAGAGCCCTGTTTTGAGGGAAACCTATCTAGAGAGACAGAAAAAGTTGACTGGGATGCAAGACCTCCCGGTGGGGTTCTCCAAGAACAAGGCAGAGGTGCGGAGGAAAGCACAGAGCCGAGAACGCTTGTTTGCCAAGTATCACCAGCTTATCTTCAAATCCCTTGGAGCTCTGGAGAGCTCAACTGATGCTGAAGAGGCCTCAGGTTGAACCCAGTGGCTACAACCAAAGCAGGCCAGCTCTATTCTTGCCCATTGCCACCAGAAGGCCATGCCTAACCTTACATGCTACCCCTTGGATTCAAAGCCAGGTTGATCCAGATAAAGGGGGGACGTCAAATATCCTCATAACTTCCCTCACTATAGTCGTCCCTGTCTCTGCCAAGACACCTCCTCGCAGAGGTCTACCCTCACCACCCCATGCAAAGTAGTGCCCCCTCCCAGTCCCACACTGTCCAGACCTTCCCTGCCCTCCTTGATCACTGAGATACAAAAAAAAAAAAAAAAGAAGAAGAAAGAATGAGAGAGAATAAAAATCGATATCTTAGGAATTAGTGACTTGAAATGGACTGGTACTGCCATTTCAACTCATCATATGGTTTATTATGCCATGAATGACAAATTGAAGAGAAACGGCATTGCATACATCGTCAAAGAGATCATTTCAAGATCTATCTTGAAATGCAATACTGGCTGTGATAGGGTAGTATCAGTACACCTACAAGGAAAACCAGTTATTACAATTATTATTTTAATTTACACACTAAATACTAATGCCAATGATGAAGAAATTGAAGAATTATATCAACTTCTGCAATCTGAAATTGATCAAATATGCAACCAAGATGCAATGATGTTTACTGGAGATTGAAATGCAAAAGTTGGAAACAAAGAGGAAGAATCTGTAGTTGGAAGACAGTGACTTGGTGACAGCAAAAATATTGGGGAAATAGCATGATAAAAATTTTCAAGACCAAAAGCTTGCTCATTACAAACACTTTTTTTCAACTATATAAATGATGACTCTACATAGGAGCCAAATTGACTACATCTGTGGGAACACACAATGGAGACGCTCAATATTAGCAGCCAAAACAAGACCAGGGGCCAACTGTGAAATAGACCAGCAATTGCTCGTGAGCAAGTTCAGGCTAAAGCTGGAAAAATTAAAGCAAGTCCATGAAGTCTCGACTTGCAATACTGAAGATTTCTTTAGGAAAAATACTAAATGATACAGGGAGGAGTACACAGGTGGAAAATGGAAGAAAATCACAGAGTCACTGTACCAAAAAGAACTAGCTGACATTCAACCATTTCAAGAAGTAGAATATAATCAAGAACCAATAGTATTGAAGGAAGAAGCCCAATGTATACTGCAGGCATTGGCGAAAAACAAGGCTCCAGGAATTGAAGGAATGCCAACTGAAATCTTTCAAAAAACTGATGCAACACTGGAAGGACTCACTAGTCTAGACATTTGGAAAG